ATAAATTATGTGTATTATATTGAAACAGATGAGGGAAAGAACAGATTAGAGGTGATATATGATTGAGTATTATGGTTAGCACAGGAAACCAGAATTTAGGTTGCATAGAGAAGTATACTCGGGGTTGGGGGTAAGGGATGAGGGAATTGTATACTAATGAAAGAATTTTTTTTTCCTTTTTCTTTTCGGAGAGGGGAGCAAACTGGTGGGGAGTGGTGGGCAGGGAGAAAAGTGTGGCAATGAATGAATGGAAAACTAAAACCTCTGTAAATGTCTATTAATTTTAAAAGAGAAATGTGTTTTGATATATTAAAATATAGTTTATTTCTACCACAAAGAAAAATTTTAAGTACACAAAACTTATTTATAGCACGGATGATCTGAAAGATGTAACATGAATCTATCACAATACAAAAGTAAGTGGGCCATTCTTATATAAAAGATATATATATAAACCAATGTTCACTGGCAGCCTGGGGGGAGGGAAGATTATTTGTGATAATGAGGAAGTAGTAACACAAAATTTAACAGTAATGAGACAGTCTGACAAAAGTAAAGAGAACGTCAAAGAAGTGAAAATAAAAATTGTGATTCATTTATTTTTTTCAACTAAAAGTTAACCCTTTCCCACAAACAGTATCTCCAAAAACCTTACTGTCTATGCCCAGAGTATTAGTATTTCTCAACTCCCCAATAATCTCTACATCAACATTCTAGTATCTTACTATCAATATTTTAAATCAAGACTACAAACCCAAGCAACCTATCTTCAAAGCCTAAGCTTTTTAAAATACTTAATTTTTAAAGAACTGTACATTCACATAGTTTTAAGAAATACGACAGTGATCCCACATTCCACTATCATCCTGTTTATCCCAATGGCTGCCAGAGTGGGATCCAACCAACAGTAACTTTACCCAGTGGTGAAACTACAGGTTACTACTGTAGGAAGTTTTGACTGGTAATTTTTGGAAAGGTGATTTTTTGGAATTAGATCACTAGGCCTTTCTTCTCTTGTTATAATTTACCTGTCTCCCAAATAAATGTCAACTCAACCAGACAATTCTCAGTGTCTCTGGCAGTTATGTAATGATGTCATCATCCCCATGATGTAATTATTCAAAGGATTAAGTAGGAAATGATTGTTGGGTACCAGGCTATCAGTTCTCATGAAAAGTGATCCTATGTAAAACGAAACAAATTCATCCCAACCTCACAATCATTGTTAAAATCAGTTTCAAGGGGAGCTCTGGTGGCCTAGTGGCAAGGAGCTGCAACTATAATCCCAGAGGCACATGGTTCAAATCCACCAGATGCTCTGCCGGGGAAGGAGGGACAATCTCCTCCTGTACCAGTCAGATCTGATTTGACGGTACATGCACACAAAAATAATAAAATAAAATAATAAAAAAATCAGTTTCAATTCCTCTCTAGAGTCAACCTCTCTAACTTTTCTAAGTATGAAGTCCTCTTCCAGGAATTGGCTCCTCTTAATAACATCTTTATTCAGCTCATAATCTTGATAATGGGTGTTACTCTGGATAGCCTCCCTCACCTTTTATCTTAAAAGATGTACAAGTGATCAGAAAGGGAGGGACCTAACTAACACCAAGAAAGAAGAGATACAACTAAGAAGGCTTTTGGACTCAATATCCTTTCTCTGAAAATCCCCTTGACCCAGAAAACTAATGTCAAGGTTTAGGGCAATCTCCAAAGAATAATGGGTCCATAGCTGTTGAAAGCAAAAAGCTGTTACCTTCAGAAGCAACATACACACACACACACAAAAGAAGCAGCAGCAACACAAAGTCTTTCCCTGAAGCTAGTGGCTTAAATTTGAACTTCCAGCCTCCAAAACCATGAGAAAATAAATTCGTTAAAACATTCCCCTTAAGGGAGCTTTGGTGGCCTAGTGGTAAGAAGCTGCACTGCAATCCCAAATGTGCAAAGTTTGAATCCATCAGCTAGAGGAGGGGGAATCTCCTCCTGTAACAATCGTATCCAATTCAACGGTACATACAAAAAATAATAATAAAGATTCAATTAAAGGATTTCTGTTACAGCAGTACTAGATAACAAAGATACACCTTGGTGACAATGACTGGGTAACAGTACTGACATGTTGAAGATACAGAACATTTTCATCATCACAAGGGTTCTTGAAGCTGTCCTTTCATGGTTATTCCCAATTATCTCCCATTTCTACTTCTCCCATAAATCCTGGTCAACTATTAATCTGTTTATTATTCTCATTTCCGTGTGTGTGTGTGTGTGTGTTTTCTTTTGAAAGCAGTTTTTTACTAAGCATAATTCTATGGAGGTTCAAGGCTGTCGCGAATAACAACAGTTCACTCCCTTTTTACTGCTGAGTGGTTTCCACATATGAAGAATCACTGACCTGCTGAAGAAGACATGGGGAGTTTCTGGCTATTAAAAATAAAGATACTCGCTTTCTACGAAGATGGCACCGAAAGCAAAGAAGGAAGCCCCTGCCCCTCCCAAAACTGAAGCCAAAGCAAAGGCACTGAAGGCCAAGAAGGCAGTCCTGAAGGGCGTCCACAGCCAAAAAAAAAAAAAAGATGATCCACACGTCACCCACGTTCCAGCGGCCTAAGATGCTGAG